TCACACAACAGCAAGATGGATAATCATACAGCTTTGTTCATCTCGTACGTAATGTACGCGTTACTGATTATGCAGATAAGGTACACGCTATCCCTCGTGGTCATGGTGATTTTGAGAGGCAGACAAGAACGCCGTATGCTGTTGGAGGGCTACAACAATAGCATGTCTTGTCTGTTCCAGGGTCATACGCCAGCGCGGGGGGTGTGGAGCATGCGCACATGCATTGTCTAGTTTAACTCCGATTAAGGCGTTTACATGCACTTCAGTTGTCCAGTTATAGTCGGATTAAGGCAATAATTCTTTTTTTTTCAAGTGTACACGTACTGACAGACATTAAAAAACTAATGGTGACAAAGGTTGCTTGTGTCCCAGCCAAAGAATTGCATTTGAACACTGCAAAGACTGCGGCCAACTTGCACATATGTTCTGCACATGCGTGAGATAAGTCCCCATATCATACCATTTACAAAGGGAATTTGGAAGACAGACACAAACAGTTATAAACTGTTTATACTAAAGAGCTCAATGGCTTTAAAAAATCGTCTTACCTTTTATATAACAAGTTTGTTTTGATCTGACCCCTTCTTGACTCTAACCATTTCTTTGCTTCCTCACTTCCATTTCTCCTCTCGTGCACTGAGCTGAACTGTTAATCAGACTAATTTCACTCATTGGCCGGCTCCGACACCAATTGAACATGCTGACTTGGCTGAAAAATTGCCAACAAGGGCAGGCTAGTTCCAGCGCTTTGGGACGCAATGCAAAAACCAGGGTGATAGACGCTCAGCAATGTCCTGACATTGATTGTCAGCCGACTGTTGGCTTGGTGTGTCAGGGCCCCTGGGAGAGGCAAGAAGGAAACACTCAGACTTTTCTCTAAATTTGCTGTTTTTTAAGGGGCTATATTTGATCATTTGAGCTCTTTGGGCCTCATTATATATTTAAATAAAACCATGTGAGAAGTTTAAAAGGGTTAATGTCTCTCTGGTGTATTTGTGGACTACTCGTAGACATCTGAAACTTGACCAAGTGCCCTAACTAGATGCTGTGTTTTTGTAAGTAGCAACAAGACAAAAAAGGTTGGAAAAAACCTGTTTAATCTTTAACAACATGTTGTGTTTTAAGCTTATCAAACTTTTTTATGTTAAAGCTTAATCTGGCATGTAACTCTTGCCATCAGATGAATGCAGGGGAGTAATAAATACCTAATCTCCCTCTGAAATGTGATGTAGCCTAAGTGTAAAGTAGCTTAAGACGGAAATACTCAAAACTCCATTTCACATGTTTTGATTTATTCAGGTAGTTTTTACTCAGTTGTGTCACTGATGTAATTTGCTTTGCACAGGTGAACGAGGCCTTTGCCCCTCAGTACCTGGCTGTTGCCAAGGCTCTTGGACTGGATCCAGCGAAAAGCAACGTTAACGGTGGGGCTATTGCCATCGGACATCCACTGGGTGCTTCTGGAGCACGTATCACCGCCCACCTGGTTCATGAGCTCAGGTAATTTTATCCTTTAGTAATTATGTGTATATATATCAGGCAAGACGTCTGCACATTAAACAGCTTTGACTAATGGACTTTGTTTTCGACAGGCGACGAGGAGGAAAGTACGCCGTCGGCTCTGCCTGCATCGGTGGTGGTCAGGGCATCGCCATCGTCCTTGAAAAGTACTAACTGGGGAAGCTGCCAGTAACGCTACCGTGCACTCATGTAACATAAAACACAGGTCACACGTGCCAAAAAGAAATTTTTTTGTTAAACCTTTACCGTTCACATAAATGGCAAACGTTCTCTTAACATGAGGCGCTGCTGCTTCCTTTCACGGCACACAAAGAAAACTCAACATCCTTCTTTTTTTTTGCTGCTTACTGTTGTTACTTCTTTTAGTCTATTTATACAACTGTTGTACAATAAATGTCTGAGTCCAGTGTTGTCTTAGAAGCCCTGTGAAGATAAAGAGTGAATCCATGTTTCTGTGCTTGTTGTAGGCCTACCAGAGTGCAACAGACTGTTTGTGAATGTGCCTGAGATACAGAGTCAGGTCCTCAGTCACATTAACACGTGTAGCATATCATTAACTCATAATTCAGTACAGTTTGTGTGGGGTTATAGTAAAGTTTTAAGGGACTCTGAACTCCAATGTTTGCCTTTGAAATGTTTTCTATCACTCCATTATCAGGAATCGGTATTTACAGAAAAGATGTCTGACCTGTGATGGCTCCTGCAAAACTGAGTTTGTATTTCTCCATCAAAGAATCTCAATAAATTAATAAGACAAATTGAAGTTTTGTCTTTTGAAGTTTTCGTCATCAGCCCTTGACAGCAAAACAAGTTATGTTTTTTAGATTAGCAGGGAATTCAGATTCAATAGATAGCCACTACTAGTTTGAATTTAGTTAGTAAAGTGTTTTAATGGTAGTTTTTCTTCTAATAAATCAAATTCAGAAATGTTTTTTTCTGAGTAGGTTTGCACACAAGGAATTTTACTTGGTGATTTGGTTCATAACAACAAACATGGTTATGTAAAGACATAAATGAAAGTAAGACAATCTACAATAGAATATGAGAAAATATTTAAAGATACACCTGTTATCAAAGTTTCAGTTTTTAAAGTATGTTTTAATGTTTGTCTTTATTAAATATACCACCACAATCAGCATTCTTTTTTTTTTTTTTTTTTTTAAAATAGTTTCCTTTTGATTGTTTTGTTAGAGATTTTAAAAATGGTTTTAGACGAACTGATAAGATTCAATAGACGCGGGTTATTGAATAGCGGATAATTGTACTTGTCATGAGCTACATGTTAATCACAATTTTTGGATCATAACAACCCTCCACAAAAAGTGTGGAGTTGATGTGTTATTTAAAGCAGGGACACTGTGGAAAATAAAGTAATAGAGAGCATCAAATGTGCCTCACAATATCTTCCAGAAAATCTTTTTATGCTCTGCTGGTGTGGAGATTGTTTAATGATTATTTAGGGTTTTTTAATTAATTGAGAAATGTTCAAGGCTGTCATTTTTAGTAGTTTTTTATGTCGGATATTTTCCTTAATGTCGCAGGAGTTCTGTATTTATCAGCGTATACATATATTAACATGATAAGCAGTAAACATAAGTCCATAGAGTCATGAACAATCCACAACACCAAGAATCCACTTTACCAAGAAATTATATATTTCTTTGTTAAAATACTCACTGTTATTTAACATGTTAATATCATCACTATTAATATAAACATTGATTTATACACTGTATATAGCCTACTGTCATATCCAGCTACCTAATGTATATCAAGCAACCACTGATAATTCCATATTTATTCCAGCACCCTTTACGCTCTGCATCACTGAATGAATTTTTAACTCTTTACAATTTCATTGTGTTAGAATTAATTTCAGCTTTGATGTCCTTGTTTTTAGCTGTATGTCTATTTCTGTGTAGGTAAACTGCAAGGAAGAAAAAAATCATAGTCAGATCCTTTGTATGTGTTCACATACATTGACTGCTCTGATTCTGGTTTCTTATATTATAAAGTACATTTGTTTATGAAAGCAACTGAAAATTAACAAAAGAAAAATATGTCCAAACTTTTGGAAAGTAGCTGTTAAAACATGTTATGTTGATTTTATTTCAAATTTACAGTGATGCTAAGGAGAAATATATTTAGGACTTTAAAAATAATAATAAGAAAAAAAACTTTATTGAACAATTTGTAATTATAACAATAAGGCAAGTAAATCGTATTGTCAAAGTAAATAGTAATGGAACTGAGTGGGGGAAAAAAGCAAAAATAAAAAATAAAAAATAAAATAAAAAGGAATAAAGGATGTCATCCCAAAAAAAGGAAAAATAAAATACTTAACATGATAAATACATAAATAAATAAATTATGAATTATGAGTAATACACATGAATAATACAAAACAAAGTTGGTCTTCATTAGTGAACTATATTATTTTCAGGGTCTGTCGTTTGTACATTTTTTTTAGAGTTGAGCAGTTCGTTTGCATATTTAGATTTCAGATATTCAATGAATTTTCCACACAACAAAAAAATCATTACAGAATGCTTCAAAAATGGATGGCGTTTATTTGCTTTGTGTATGTAATATTTTGCCATAATGTATTAGGACTACAAGGACCACAACTTCTCTGAAACGCGACGCAATTACGTCAACGTCATCGTGCAGCGTCCTTATATACGTCACATCCCCGGATGTCGGTCTTTTTTTCATAGCAAAGGTAAGGACCCCTTGCCTTCGTGTTACTGTTGGAATAAAATCTGCTTTCATCTGTGTTACAGAGTCAAAAATATAATCTCCAAATATCAGGAGATGAATCCTTGTATTTAGACGATGCGTTAGACATCGTTATTGCTACGATGTATCTGTCATGTCTCTGTAATAATGAATAGTTTGGTGTATCTGTAGTCCAAGGCCGCCGGCTAGCCTCCGTGATGTCTGACATGTTAGCTAGCTGGCTAATGAAACGTGTTATCATATGTTAGTCTTCTGTGCCGTTTAACCATAAAGTTCCGCTGTCGCGTACTTACATTTCTTTATAAATCATTACATTGACGTTTTGAGGATGAGAAGTGGTTAGCTAGCTTGTAAAGTCACCCTTGTGTGCTATGTTGCTAATTGCTAGCTAACGTTTCTTGTCATGTCTGGTTAGCACTGCCGAGTGCTGTGGTGTTTAGCACTCCACCAAACACATTTAGTAATGACTTTTACTATGGTTGTGATGTTTTACTGCTCATGATCAATATACTGTAATTTCGATTAGGACCGTTGCTATTAGGCTGTAGATTTATTGATACAGTACCAGTCCTCTGTTAACAGATTGATATTGCACAGTATGCAAAGCACTGTACAAACAATGCTGGAATATTATTTGTGATCTGAAGTCTATTATAAAAATGAACTCTCAAATATAGTCCTCCAACATAGCTGACATTACACATAACATTGCTGCAGTTTGTACAAAAATCTCAATACGTTTTACTTCACTTTCTGTCAGATGGCAGAGGGCGACAAGAAGGCAGCCAAGAAGAAGAAGCACGGGAGCCGGAACCCGGCCCTGGCCAAGGGCATCGGCCGCTACTCCCGGTCTGCCATGTTCGCCCGCAGGGCCATGTACAAGAGGAAGACAAAGACCACTGAGACCAAGGTGAGGGCAAATCTGTGACACCAAAATAAATGTGACAAAAAGAATATACGTCGTATCTGTTCAATGTCCAGTTTTGATAATGTTTTGCTGCTGTTATAGGTGGAGAAAAAGCTGAAGGCAAAGCCCCGGGCAACTGTTGTCAAGACAGTTGGAGGAGACAAAAATGGAGGCTCTCGTGTTGTCAAGCTGCGCAAGATGGTGAGTAATGGTGTGAATTCTTGTTTGTCCTCATTTTATTTTGCTCAATTATTGACAGATTTGTAAATGTCATACTGATGGAGAAATGGAAGAATATGTAGCACACAAATTTAAGAAGTTCAAAATGTGTGCCTGAATGAGAAATTATTCCATACACTTTTACTGAGATATTTGTTTAAAGATATTGTGAGCACAAATGGTGCACATAGTTTCTTAATTTTAGGGACAGGCGGTCAGTTCCCATTTCATCACGACTTGCCATATTAGCTGATACACTGGCACTGTCAACCTCTTATTAAAAGGGTTGTCATTGCTTTCAAATGAGAAGTAATACACTTGTTTGTTTTTTGTATGTGCATGTGTTCCCCTGGATTTCTGCTGCAAAAAGTAATGTGTGTGTTTTCCTACCATAGCCACGCTACTACCCCACAGAGGATGTTCCCCGTAAGCTGAAGAGCCACGGGAAGAAGCCTTTCAGCCAGCACAAGAGGAAGCTGCGTAGCTCCATCACCCCAGGAACTGTCCTCATTCTGCTCACTGGTCGCCACCGTGGAAAGGTGAGAACCATTTCTAGCATGTCTTGAGGATGATTTGAGTGTTTGCATGGATAAGAAGAAAATCACGCATAGCACAGGATTAAATTGTGTCTGTCACTTAACATAATGCTCATAGGGCTTTGGAAAAACTGAATAGGTGATTACTGTATTGCTGCACTCTGCATGAGTGGGTGCAGCCTGGAAATGTCATCCAGGCTGCAAGTAATGTTATTATGGGGTCCAGTGTTGGGGTTTAAGAGCAGGTATCTGTTTGCCTCTAGAACTAAAACAGGATCAACTCTCAAACATTTATATGTTGCACAAAACTTGATTGACTAATGTAGACTCTGATGAGGTCATATCATTAAACAAGTAATGGTCATTATAATCTGCAGACGCACAGTATGTGCTCCAGATGTAAACAAAATGAAGTCTCTACCATCAGAATGTGACCTTGCGTTTATTCCTGTCAATTGACTGGTATGTTATCTTGTAGGCTTGTCACGAAACAACAGGGTCATTTGTAAAATACAGCTAAAAGGTTTGTTTACATCTAGTGTTTGTAACAGAAATTGATATATTCCAATTATGATCCAATGTGAAACAGTCACATTTTATCAGCCAAAGAAGGTTTTTAGTTTTATGTGAATACACTGTTAAAACTTCATGCTGTTAGAATTACTACAGTTGGACTATAAAATTGTTGGATCTTTTCAGAAAATGTGCACAAATACAAAATGTATGCAGACTATGGACAGAATGTTCCATTAGTCTTATCAGCGTTGAGCATAAATGAGCCCTTGGTCTTTTCTTTGACTTTATACTACACCCGCTGGTACTTGGTGCCTTACGTACAGAGCATTATGCGTGTTTACATCATGAATGTTACTGCATTACTGTACAATTCTTTGGTTTATCGGTGAAGTGAATGATCACTGTAGACTAGACCTCACAGTAACAGAGTGATGGGACCGCTGACTGATAAGAACGGCCCAGCATGGGTTGAATGTGCATCTGCAGGTCCGCCTTATATACACGTCTATGAAATGTCTATCACTGCTCTGCATTTTCAGATACTATGATTATCTGGACATGTCTTGCCTGTGTCCAGGCATCGTCTCTCTTCCTCTCCTTGTAGTTGTCATACTCGTACAACCAAGTAGCATGTTTTATCTATGACTTCATATCGGCTGTAAATAAAAAAAGGTGAGGACCTCATCGCTGTAGTGTCACATGACTGCCATATTCCGCTGATGCTGTTATTGTCGCAGCCCTGATTTCCATTTTCTGGCAGATGTAATCACATTTTGAAAACCCCATAAGACAAAAAGTTGTACTAATTTATTGCTTATGTGTCACAGTACACAGCTAGTCATCGTGGCATCAAGACGGATTTATGTTTTTATATTTAAAATGGAAGTTAAAGTCAGTATAGTCACCCAAAAACAAACAATTTTGGATGACATTGTAAAACGACGTTACAACCCTCATAATGGACTCAGAAGACTCTAGTGCAGAAAATGGACTTGACTGGAGAAAAGGCCACCTGTATCTTTAATTTAGCCAGCTAATGTCCTGTTGTGACACATAACTACACAATTTCCATAACTACACAATTTCAAACAGACATTGGTATTATTTATACTGATTGTAATCGAAGTGGACTTGTCGGTTTTTTTTAAACTATTAACAATGTTGTAAATTTGCAGCCTAATGGCAGCACAGTCCACTTTTCATTAAGAGACTCACAGAACACACATCTGCAGACGTTGCCTCCCAAATCAGTGGTGCATCCTTATGTGCACTAAGAATGCATTTCAAACAAGCGTGCTTGACACATCACTATAATCACACACTCAGTACCACAGACATTGTCCCTCCCTCCCACACTCAAACGCTACATGTGCAAGTTATGGAGGCATGCTAGTGTGCCCACACACACTTTGAGCAGTAGCTGACCTAAATAATGTTTCAGCTGTGAATCTGACAGGCCGAGAGCCCTCCTGATAAAATTAGGTGTGTGTCAAGTAGATTTATATTCTCCGTCTAAATAGCTTGGCATGAAATTGGATTGCAGCTATTAAATTGTCTTGTCCAAATGGCACACGTGACAGTTAATGGGTTCACTGCTTGAACTGAATACATGTGCAAACATCCAATACAGTAGCTTTATGCTTAAGATGCTTGTTTTTGTATTGTAGCGCGTGGTGTTCCTGAAGCAGCTCTCAAGTGGTCTCCTGCTTGTCACTGGTAAGGAAGACATTATGGTTAAAATTGTGGTTACTTAATATGTGTGCACATCACAGTAAATACATCCATAATCCAATGTAGCAGCACTGTTGACTCTTTTTCTAACATCTTTCCTTGTTTGTATATGCGCAGGCCCTCTTGCCGTGAACAGAGTACCCCTGCGCAGGGCTCACCAGAAGTTCTGCATTGCCACCAACACCAAAATCGACATCTCTGGCATGAAGATCCCCAAAACTCTCAATGATGCCTACTTCAAGAAGAAGAAGCTGAGGAGGCCCCGTCACCAGGAGGGAGAGATCTTTGACACTGAGAAAGAGGTAAACTAACTTGGACAGAACTTAAAATACACTACTGTAGACATTTTGACCATTTCAGTGGAAATTTGACTTGCAGATTTATGATGCCTGACTCACTGATTTCCTTCTTGCCTCTGCAGAAGTACCAGCTGACAGAGCAAAGGAAGGAGGACCAGAAAGCTGTTGATGCTCAGCTCCTGCCCCTTATCAAGAAAGTACCTCAGCTCAAAGGGTACCTGCGCTCTTCCTTCTGCTTGTCTAATGGTGTCTACCCACACAAGCTGGTTTTCTAAATGTGTTGTAATAAAGAGTACCATGGACTTATGCCTTCTCATGCCTCGTTTGTGCTGAAATTAAATTTGTGTAAGTAGCTTTGATGTTAACAAGCTAGATAAGTCAATAATTTCAACTGTCAACAACATGGATCAAAATGTTTTATTTCCACAGATCAAATGATGCATTAATTTTACCATTATCAGACTTTGTGGTGTCTCATGCAGGTGAAACTATCCCTACCAACTAACAGTAAATGATCAGAAATATTCCTCAGAGTAATGCTCTTCTGAAAAAGCTCACAGGAGCTGCCTGCATCATGCAGTGACTCTACTTTTACTGAATTTGACCTTAACATCTTAAGTGTGCTTGAGATGCACTTTTATTGATTTGCCGGTGTTTTATACTCCATTATTTGCCTTTGCAGAAAGGATGTCTGAGAAATGTCAAATACGTACATGTAGTCACACTACTCTGGCTACTGCAATTTGATAATTTCATCCAGGGCTTGGCATTATATTGATATTGACATGAGACCAGATTTTATCCTGACTTTAGAATATTATTAACTTTTCCTGGTTTAAAAAGGCTGCTATAGTGATGTAATTTAACTTACCAGACTGCTCTAGCGGTTCTATAATTTGCCTTAGTCATATCAACGTTACTGATAATTATCAAATCTGTCACGATTATGCAAAGGCATCAAGTCTCCCCTTCAATATTGTTGCATTAATAATAGTTATGTGCTCAAAAATATACTTGATTTTCTCTATCATCCAGCCCTACTTTGATCCCATTGGTAATGTTTGCATAAAGACAAGGCAAATTCATGTATACATATGGTTGCCAGTTCTCTGCATATCAAAACATACCAAGTAACTGGTCATATCAGATTAATACATATCCTGGTTTAATCAGTACATAGTGAAGCAGTGCAATGAAATGACCACACCAGGCATTGGACCCAGACAGTTTAACAGCTACGCTTTAATTAAAAAAATGACATGTCTAATGTAACAAGACAAAAATAAATACAAGTGTTTTATCTCTAACATGGCCACGTCTTGTTTTTTTTTGTTAATCCTCAAAAACAGAACAAAGTAGAAAGCAGCACACAAAAAGGCAGCAGCCCCTTGCCAAGGAATGATAAGTGCCTTTGTCGAGTCAGTCAGTACTGTATGTATGGTCAGCTGGCGTAGAGAAAATGCATTCCCTCAGCCGGACTTGAACAGCAGAATGGCCACCTGACCCAAGTAGAAGTAAATGAAATGCTTGGTCTCATGAGTCACGTAGCTGCCAAAGTTCCTCCCGACGATGCAGTGCCAGGTTGGGTTATATTTCTTGTCAAACTCCTGTGTGGGACAAAGACGCATTGTGTTCATCAAACATTTGTGGACCAACATGGGAGGTGTGAAGACAAGAAACAAGAATAAATTGTGCAATGAAGCACATAGTATGGTAGATGTTCAAGAGTAAAAACAAGTGACAAACTACACTTGTCATTCACAATTTTTTGAGGCTAAATCACAACTAAGTGTTAGGATTCTGCACACATTAGATCGTTGTAGCTGGGAGGAATGAACAGAAACCTGTAACTGAAAACATACATCTATCACCCTTCTGGGCTAAGACTATTACATGTTATCACTAACCACACCCAAAATACTTTACCATCATTCTCAATAATGATGTTTCTGAGTCAAAAAAACATTTCAGTTTCTGTCTGTATTGTCAGGCTCTGAGCACTAGATACACTGAATGCTATGAGGCTTGTACCCTTAACTTGGGCTGGATGATTTGTTATAAAAAGCCTGGCATTTTGGCCTTTATAATAATTCTACATTTTTTGGTCTTAACAGCTGAATTACAATTAAGTAGTGCAATTTTCTATCTTAGTTTTGCTAGTCTTTGATGGCTTTTTTCCCTTCCAATTATCTTATGGGCAAAATACTGCATTTTATCGTATTGCAAATTTTGCAAATACATCCGTTTTGTTGCGACCACTTTGCTGTAAAAAGTCCAAGCAACACTGGAAGGTATACAATCCTTAAGGCTCAGGAGTGTGTGACGGATAATTAACAGCTGTACCCAAGTGTTTCAATGACATTTGTACATCATGGTTTGAGGTGTGTTCCACCCTATGCTTATTAGGAATGCCATCATGGAGATAAAAAATGTGGGTATGACAGACAGTCCAAGGAACAGGTTTCCTCAGGAAGAGTGGAAACAATTGCACACATACCAGGCCGGGTGTGTAACATGGATGATGCACTGGATGGTTGGTTAGGGAGTGCAAAATAGCTTTAAACCACTGCTTGATGTCAATTGCACACCAGATTTTAGTCAAAAGTCAGTAGGTTTAAGTTGGACTCAGTGGGAGCCTGCTACATGAAGTGAAATGCAGATGTTGGATGCGTCAGCAGTGGTTTTTACCTTTTTGATGTATGCAGCGATATCTTTCTCGATGTTGTACTTCTCCAGGGCCTGTGTGGCACACTCCACGGCGTCCTGCTGCATGTCCTCCGACATGTCGGCATTTTTGATCACTGCCTTTCTTTCAGTCATGGTTGCCCTGGGAAACCAAACCACAGCAGAGGATTTATCATCTTCACAGGCGCATTGGCAAACACACAATGCATCCCAACAGTCCTCATCATCGATTGACTCTAACGATAATGTATGGAGAGCATACAGTCTCTGGTCACCCAGTTAAAGGAATAAAAATGGCTAGTTAGTGACGGAGTTATCATTACATAATAACTGACACATAATATTTGAACTAGCCATTTCTACAAGTGTTGCATAACAACTTCCATCAGCGGTGAGCTCGGTGGATGCGCGCTCTGCGTAGTTTCTATGGATACGCAAGACATTGGAGATTATCGTCTCAATTTTACCCGAGGTTTTAACAGAAATCTTGTGAAATATGAAGCTACAGCATGAAGGCACATTTCTCCAACTACCTAACATTGGTAAGCAGCAAAAAGGCAAGCCTGGACTGCTTCAGCATGCATGATACCGAAATAAACACACCGTTTCCATAATAATAAACCATTTAGCATTAACAGGACTTCACATTTAATAAGTAAGATGTCAGAAGGGTTTGCCAGCAAACACATCGCCACATGCATTTACAGCGATGCTGAGCTGTTGCTTCGCTAACGGTGAAGCACGGTACCGTTAGCCGCTCATTCATACCGCAACAGAAAAACAGAAACACCATCTAACAGTAAAAACAGATGTTTCCCTTTGGAGAAAACTTAAAACTATAAAAATTAACATAATTTAATTGTATGCAAGCGAAATATTTAAATTCACCTACTAGTCTCCCGTATAGTGTTTATCGAGTTTTAAAGAGACGACTGCTCCTGTAGTGACAACTCCCGCGAAGTGGTTGACACAAAAGTAATGTGGGTGTGTAGCGGCAAGAGACTGCTGTCTTGACTTGTTCCCATTGGATGGTATTAATGCACAGCCCGCTGTAATTGGCTGATTCAGGCCCATCTTTCTGGTGTTTCTGCCTGCATTTTATATCAAACCATCATGCTTTGCGGCAAGATCGTTGACAGGGCAACCAATGTAAATACTCGCTTGTGCTTATGCTATGATCCTGGCAATGCCTGGTTCATACACTATTTAAATGCAAGTAAGATCTCATAATAAAGTATATCATTGAAAAAAGCATGGTATGCCATAAAAAATAAGTCAGAGTATATTATGTCACAAAAAAATCAAAGTATAGTATGTCATAAAAGATAGATAGATAGGGGTCATTCCTCACTATTGGTAACATTCCAGTCCCTGGGACAGAGCCCCTCATATCTTACTTTACATAAACCAAATTTTTAATATGAAAGACATTTTATTACAGATAGAGGTCTCCCATGTAATATTAACACAGAATATTGCCTGAAAAAAAATTTATATTTATATTTATATACCTCTTTTTAGGCACAAACACGTGTTTTTACCATGTCCCCAAGGCAACTTTTCATATTTCAATGAATAATATTTTATTAAAATAATAAATAATTACAAAAATATCTTTATTATTGTTTTTATCAAGATTAAATAATTAAAATTCTAAATATATGTTTGTGGCTATATCACTGTTATTTAGGTGTTCCATTGAATTTACTGAGTGTCCCCCTAATTGCGTTCCACCCTGTTACATTGTGGTTTTTAGCCTGCCAAACCAAGTAAAACTACAATTCCCATGATGCAACACTCAGGAACTGGAAGCACCCTTTTGGCGGGAAATTTGAAGGATAAGTCAGAGGTAAGAATCAACATCTCTTGCCGTTTTTGCATGTTTTATAGTGTAAATCCACATGTCCTACTCTTAAATTTCCACCCTGTTATGCTAAATTGTTGAGAAAGTAAAAACAAATTTGAAATTTTTTTAAATATGTTTGATGTCCCTATTTATGTACTGTTTAAATCTGGAGAGCTAGCTAGTCAGGTCTGGAGTGCTAGCTAGTCAGGTCTACTTTGGTTGGAAATATTCCACCCTGTTACGTTCCACCCTGTTACGTACATAAACGTAACAGGGTGGAACATGCAAGTAACCGGGTGGAAAATATCTAATAATAATACAGAATATGCACAGATGATGATGATGATGATGATAATAATAATAATAATAATAATAATAATAATAATAATAATTATTATTATTATTATTATTATTATTATTATATTAGCATAGCTATATTGTTTATTAATAAATTATTATCTATTTAATTATTTAAATAGATAGAGAGACAGACACTATGTTCGTAGCCAACTCTACGGTTAAAAATGAAATGAAAATGAGATGAAACACTGAATGAATTACTTTAAACGAATTGGTCTACAGTTATACCTGAAATGGAAATTAAACAAAATACTGAATGAATTACTCAAAATGAATGAATTACTCTATGGTTTTAAATGACATGAGGGGGTATGTGGATATAATGAAAACGTTCAATAAATACCAAGTTCTTTTAAAAAGGCTAATCATTGTTGGTAATTCCACCCTGTTACGGTACTTTCCACCCTGTTGTGCTTGTTTCCACCCTGTTACACACAGTTTCTTTTAAAATGACCTAAAAACCATGATATTTTTTCAGAATGTTCTTATGTTAATTTGCAGTTCTGAAAGAGACAATGAGAATACATGTGTTTTATTGTGCACATATCTATTTATCTTGAGCATTTTGGCTAAATTGGGTGTGCACATGTACATTTTCTAAACAAAAAGCCTATATTCTACACAATAATTTCTGTATCTTCATTATTCAAATTTAAAAAACATATGTTATGAAATAAGGGACACATAAGGTATAAGTGTTGATAAATATTGTTGAATATTTACATTATTAACATTTAGCAATACTTATGTATATGTCTGTAACAGGGTGGAACTCTAGCACGATCCATGTCTCAGCAATCCATCCATAATTATTATCATTTAAGTGCCTGAGCTCTAAAAATACAAATTCCTCAAGGTTAAACATGTCTTCTACCTAATGACATGTTAAAAACGTCAAAAATTCACAATATTAATATCAAAACTTAACACCTTAAAAAGTTACCAATAGCGAGGAATGACCCATAGATAGATAGATAGATAGATAGATAGATAGATAGATAGATCTTAATAATAAAATAGACAAATAAGAGTAATAAGTCATAAAATAATATACCATAAATAAAGTCTTAGTGTAGAAAAAAAGTCATTATGGTATGTCATGCAATGTCAAAAAGATCATGATGTGGCATAAAAACTGCAATTTAAAAAAGTCACAGAACGCCATAACAAAGTCATAGTAAAGTATGTCAAAAAAGTTATAGAAAGTCTTATACTAGTATGTCAAAAAAAATTAATGTAAAATTGTTATACTACAGTGTGGCTAAAAAAAAAGTTGGAGACTAGTATTCCATAAAAATGTGAAAAAAAATCATAGTATAGTATGTCTGAAAAATGTGAAAAAAAACATCATAGTATAGTATGTCTGAAAATGTGAAAAAAACCCATCATAGTATAGTATGTCTGAAAAATAACATCATAGTATAGTATGTCTGAAAAATGTAAAAAAAAACCCATCATAGTATAGTATGTCTAGAAAATGTGAAAAAACCATCATAGTATAGTATGTTGTAAAAAATGTATTACAAACGTCATATAATTGTGTCATAAAAAACTGTGATAAAAACGTCATTGTGTAGTATGTTGAAGAAATTTGTTAAAAACATCATAGTATAGTATGTCGTAAGAACTGTGATAAAAACGTCATTGTGTAGTATGTTGAAAAAATTTGTTAAAAAAAATCATAGTATAGTATGTTGTAAGAACTGTGATAAAAACGCATAGTATAGTATGTCGTGAAAAATCATGAAAAAACGCCATAGTATATAGGCCCGTCAGGCCCAGATGGCGTCCCTGTGCATGTCCTCAAGACCTGCGCAGACCAGCTAGCAGAAGTATTTACAACCATCTTCAACCTCTCGCTTCAACAGTCTGTGGTTCCCACCTGCCTCAAATCAGCCACCATCGCTCCTGTACCAAAGAAGAACATAGTGAACTGCCTGAACGACTACCGCCCAGTGGCTCTCACGCCCATCATTGCAAAGTGTTTTGAGAGATTCATCCTCCCCTCCATCAAGTCTGCCAGGAAGGCCAGAAACATCAGCACAGACCCCACTCACCCCGGACATTCCCTATTCTCCCCCTCCCCTCCTCCTTCTCCCAGACTCATTAACAGCTTCCTCCCCCANGAAAGAGATACCGCTCCCTTAAAGCCAGAACAGCCAGACTAATTAACAGCCTCTTCCCCCAGGCCGTCAAAGCCATCACCCCACCCATCCCACCCAAAGACTGACACTGGAACCACACTAAAATATTGAGTGCAATAACCCTCCCCCCCAAAAAAAACCTTGCACAAAACCCTTTGATTTCCACAACCTCCTGCACCTTAATACTACCTATACATAATACTGTTTCATTCTGTATATATGTTATTTGTATTGTTCATATTGATTCTTTTGTATATATTCTGCTTATATTGTTATCATGTTATTTTTTCCCCATACAGTTATAATGTTATTTTTATACTGGATACTTTTTTTGTACTACTGCCAAATAGGAGCTGCTAAACAGATTTTCACAGTGATGTTGTCTGACAATTTTAACGGTGACAATAAAGTATTCTTATTCTCTTATTCTTAATGTGTCATCAGAATTTGTAAAACACATCATAGTATAGCATGTCGCCCAAAATTATGAAAAAAAAGTCATAGTATAGTATGTCGTCAAAAATCACGAAAAAAAAGTCATAGTATAGTATGTCGTCCAAAATCATGAAAAAAAGTCATAGTATCCTATGTCATCTAAAATCATGAGAGAAAGTCATAGTACATTATGTCGTCCAAAATCATGAAAAAAATCCCACCATAGTATAGCATGTCGTCAAAATCATGAGGAAAAAGTCATAGTATAGCATGTCGTCCAAAATCATGTAAAAACATCATAGTATGGTATGTCATTAAAATTCATGAAAAAACATCATAGTATAGTATGTCGTCAAAAATCATGTAAAAAAGTCATAGTATAGTATGTAGTCCAAAATCATGAAGAAAAAGTCATAGTATAGTATGTTGTCCAAAATCATGAAAAAAAGTCATAGTATCCTATGTCGTCCAAAATCATGAGAGAAAGTCATTGTACATTATGTCGACCAAAATCATGAAAAAATGTCATTGGAAAGTATGTCGTTCAAAATCATGAAAAAAAAATCATAGTATAGTATGTTGCCCAAATTCATAAAAAAAGTCTCAGTATAGCATGTTGTCCAAAATCATGAAAAAAACGCCGTAGTATAGCATGTCGTCCAAAATCATGAAAAAAGGTCATAGTATAGTATGTCATTAAAATTCATGAAAAAACATCATAGTATACTATGTTGTCCAAAATCATGTAAAAAAGTCATAGTATAGCATGTCGTCAAAAATCATAAAAAAACATCATAGTACAGTATGTCATCACAATTCGTGAAAAACATCATCAGTATAAAGTATGTTGTCAAAAATCCATACAAAAAGTCATAGTATAGTATGTGGTCTAAAATCATGAAAAAAGTCATAGTATAGTATGTCGTCAAAAATCATAAAAAAAAGGTCATATTATAGTATGTCGTCCAAAATCATGAAAAAAAAGTCACAGCATAGTATGTCGTCAAAATCATGAAAAAACGTCATAGTATAGTATGTCGTCCAAATTAATGAAAAAAGAGTCTCAATATCGTATGTTGTCCAAAATCATGAAAAAACATCATAGTATAGCATGTCATCTAAAATCATAAAAGTCAAAGTCCAGCATGTTGTCCAAAAGTATGAAAAAATGTCAGAGTATAGTATGTTGTCCAAAATCATGGAAAAATGCCATAGTATAGCATGTCGTCCAAAAGCATGAAAAAAAGTTATAGTATAGTCTATCATCCAAAATCATGAAAAAACGGCATAGTAGTATGTGTAAGAAATACAGAAAAAAAGTCATAATATAGTATGTCATCCAAAAACATGATAAAAAGTCTTAGAATAGTATGTTTTCCAGAATCATGAAAAAAAATGTCATAGTATAGCATGTCATCCAAAATCATGTAAAAACATCATAGTATAGTATGTCAGTAAAAGTCGTGAAAAAACATCATAGTATAGTATGTCGTCAAAAATCATGAAAAAAAGTCATAGTATAGTATGTTGTCCAAAATCATGAAAAAACGTAATAGTATAGCATGTCGTCCAAAATCATGAAAAAAGTCATAGTATAGTATGTTGTCCAAAATCATGAAAAAAGTCATAGTATAGTATGTTGTCCAAAATTATGAAAAAAAAAGTCATAGTATAGTATGTTGTCCAAATTATGAAAAAAAAGGTCATAGCATAGTATAGCCTGGTTCCAGACCATAGACCCCGCCCACTCAACTGAGTAGGCACTCAGGCTAAGCATAGTATGTTGTCCAAAATTATGAAAAAAAATCATAGTATAGTATGTTGTCCAAAATCATGAACAAACGTAATAGTACAGCATGTTGTCCAAAATCATGAAAAAACGTCATAATATAGTATGTTGTCCACAATTATGAAAAAAAGTCATAGTATAGTATGTTGTCCAAAATTATGAAAAAAGTCATAGTATAGTATGTTGTCCAAAATCATGAAAAAAGTCATAGTATAGTATGTTGTCCAAAATTATGAAAAAAAAAGTCATAGTATAGTATGTTGTCCAAATTATGAAAAAAAAGGTCATAGCATAGTATAGCCTGGTTCCAGACCATAGACCCCGCCCACTCAACTGAGTAGGCACTCAGGCTAAGCATAGTATGTTGTCCAAAATTATGAAAAAAAATCATAGTATAGTATGTTGTCCAAAATCATGAACAAACGTAATAGTACAGCATGTTGTCCAAAATCATGAAAAAACGTCATAATATAGTATGTTGTCCACAATTATGAAAAAAAGTCATAGTATAGTATGTTGTCCAAAATTATGAAAAAAGTCATAGTATAGTATGTTGTCCAAAATCATGAAAAAAGTCATAGTATAGTATGTTGTCCAAAATTATGAAAAAAAAAGTCATAGTATAGTATGTTGTCCAAATTATGAAAAAAAAGGTCATAGCATAGTATAGCCTGGTTCCAGACCATAGACCCCGCCCACTCAACTGAGTAGGCACTCAGGCTAAGCATAGTATGTTGTCCAAAATTATGAAAAAAAATCATAGTATAGTATGTTGTCCAAAATCATGAACAAACGTAATAGTACAGCATGTTGTCCAAAATCATGAAAAAACGTCATAATATAGTATGTTGTCCACAATTATGAAAAAAAGTCATAGCATAGTATGTTGTCCAAAATCATGAAAAAAGTCATAGTATAGTATGTTGTCCAAAATCATGAACAAACGTAATAGTACAGCATGTTGTCCAAAATCATGTAAAAAAGTCATAGCATATTATGTCGTCCAATATCATGAAAAAAAAGTCATAGCATAGTATGTTGTCCAAAATTATGAAAAAAAGTCATAGTATAGTATGTTGTCCAAAATAATGAAAAAAAAGTCATAGCATAGTATGTCGTCCAATATCATGAAAAAAAAGTCATAGCATAGTATGTTGTCCAAAATTATGAAAAAAAGTCATAGTATAGTATGTTGTCCAAAATTATGAAAAAAAAGTCATAGCATAGTATGTCGTCCAATATCATGAAAAAAAAATGTAAATTGTGATAAAAAAAAGTCATAGTATGTCAAAAAATATATTAAAAACATCACAGTATATTAAGTCATAGAAAAATGTCATAAAAACATCATAGTACAGTATGTCATAAAAGATGAAGTGATTAATGTGACAGCATAGTGTATCGTAAACAAGGTGACAAAAACGTTATGGTATAGTATGTCATGAAAATGTGAGAAAAATGTGATAGTATAGCATGTCGTAAAAAAGGTGATCAAAAAAAGTCATAGTATAGTTTGTATTTAAAATGTAAGAAAACGTTGTTGTACAGTATGATTAAAAACTTCATAGTATAGTATGTCATACAAAATGGGATAAAAAAAAGTCATATTATAGTTTGTCATCAAAAATGCGATAGAAACATCATAGTACAAGTATGTCATAAAAAATGTGTTAAAAAAGTCATCGTATAGTATGTCAAAATTGTTTATTAAAAACATCATAGTATAGTGTGTCATAAAAAACATGATAAAAAAGTCATAGTACAGTATGTCATAAAAAATTAAGAAAAAAGTCATAGTATAGTGTCATAAAATATGTGATGAAAAAGTGAGATTATAGTGATGTGATAAAAAAATTCATAGTCTTTCATAAAAGATGTACTCAGTTATAGTAAAGTATGTCATATGAAACTGTGTTAATAAAAAGTCATAGTATAATATAGAATTGTATGCCATAAAATACTCAAGTCACAGCATAATATGCCATTTAAATGTTTTAAAAATGCCATCAATCATAATATAGTATGCCATATGCCATGTTGTATGTAATAAAACTTCCATTAAAATGTTTTTAAATTTCATAGTATGGTATGTCAAAAAAATGTTTAAAAATGTAAAAGTGATGCTTTGATGCTGTTGTTTTAGTGTTAGGGAAGAAAACTACCATTTTTTACAGCTTTGTTGTAGAATTAAATATACACTGATTTAATATTGACACTTATACTCTGAAATGACTTGTCCCCTTTCAAATATGCCAAGTTTTCAGGCCAAATGTGAAGCTCTAGTTTACTATAACATCCACCACTTACAACAAACAACACGATTAGTTTGTTGAAAATATGGTCCGCATCCTATTTACTCAGCATTATGTATCTAATTTTTTATTACATCATTGAGGTTCTTGTGATAATAAGAAAAAATATGTTAGGAGAATTATTTTCATGCACATCCAAAATACTCTAACCCATTTTAGTGAGAAGGGACTGTCTTGCAAATACTACATAAGATTCTAAAAACAATTTTATTTTTTTATCCATTTATTTCACTCATACATACTTAACAGTTGACCATTTACAAACCCACGTTTTTTTCTTTTAACATTTTCAGAAATGTTTTCAATCATTCACACACAAAACTGAATCAAAGTCCTGATCTTTATGTTCAAGTTTTGTGTTATAGATTAAAATCTCTATCACCAGGGTACACTGTGGCAGTATTTCAGTAACCTGGTCAACATTCATAACTTTTATCTTTAGCTTTAAAAATGCCCCCCTAAAAAACACTCAAGATGCAATAATTTCCTGACCTACTACCACACATGTAATCATTTTCACACAACCACAGTCTACCAGTGTAACAGTCATTTTCATACATCAATCGCTAAAATGAAAATGTTTATTCCCTTTGTCCCCAAAAATGTATGATCTTTTTCTCCCAAATTAGTGTCCATTACCAAAAACTAAGCCCATTACCAAAAAATAGCCTTTGCATCATTACATTGTTTGCCCAAACCGGAAGAGAAATACCACAGATTTAAAACACACTTTTAAATGTTCAAGTTGAATGAGATCTTTTTTAAACTACTAACATAAAGTCGCATAAATACCACTCTGTTGTCTGACTGTGTGACTATACATTAAAACAGCTCAGCCAAAGTACTAAAGGGCACTCCTGTAAAGGCAAAATGTCCTGATGATAGTTTGCCTCACTGTTCATAATGGATGAACAACAGAAGCCAGTACACATTTAGATTTCTTCTGAGGTTATGGTATAATCAATTTTTGGCATATTAAAACTTAAATATACAAGTGTGGTCAAAAATAAATTACTGTTGAGAGCATGATTTTAAAAAATGGTTACAATTGAGCCCAAAGGCTGTCACATAGATACACCATGGATACTTAAACCGAGTTAAAAACCACTTAACTTTCTTGTTTTAGATTAAAATGTTAATGGTTTCAATTTAAGATAGATATAAAAGTTCAAAACAAACAATCAAATGACTTCACAGTTGTTTTCTTTTTGATAACATAGATGAATTGTACACACGTTTGTAAACATGTTTCTGTATTCATTTGCAGGAGTGCTGTAACAGATGTAACTGTGAGCTGTCCTTTGCTTCACTCGCTGCGGTCCTTTGGCTCTCTGTATTTGTAGTGGATGTATTCAAAGATGTCTCTCTCACTATCCACCAACAGAGGCTCTCCTGCCACACCTACAACAGACCACACAGGAAAACAGCTGATATTAAAAGCTTAAAGCATGAATCACTGACTGACTGTTGCCAAAAGACACACTGAGGCTGGAACAGAGTTCACCAGGGTCATATGTGACATTTGAGTGAGACTCACCAGTGACTCCAAGTGGTCGTATGGTGTACTCATTAAGAGTGAAGCCCTTCTCCAGAGCGTGTGTTCTCATGTTTTTATTGAAGATATCACTTCCAGTGAAATACAGAACTCCACAGTAGTACTGGTCTTTAGGAATTAACCTTGGGTAAATAGAGAAAAGAAAGTTACGGAGCAGACAGAGACAGCTGAGTAGAAGTATAAACAAATTCAGAAGGTTTCCTTTTACTGTGTTTGCTGCAAATTTAATTGTATATAACTGGGCCTATATTGTAGTAGGTAGAGGAAATGTCTGGATTAGAAGTTCATATATTTGCACAATATAAAGTAGGGCACCTAATATCAATACGCCTGTGAAGGTATTCTTCCTCATCTTCATCTTCATCGCTCTGCTGCAGCTGGCAGACTCCCTGGAAAACAAGATCCAGCACATCGTGACCACGGACTTCGTGGGTTGGGTATAGTAACTGTACTCACTGCGTTACTAACCACAACATCAAAACACACAGCTGAGCACATGGGTGAAAATAAGCACAGGCCTCACCATGAATTTGGTGTCTCCTTTGGACAGGGTGTCGGTCACAAAACCCATGGACTCCAAATGGTCAACGACAGCATGGAGGAGCTTGGGCTGGAAAAGAAGATAAATGGACCAATGTTAATTGTAAAAAGATAAAAAAAAATCAAGGTTTTCAAGGCCCTTGTGAAAACCTACAGTGGTCGGAACATGTAAGCTCTTTCAAAGCTCAAGTAGGATGCTTATTTTGGCAAAATCCCATAATAAACTTGAGCATATTGTAATTCAAGCAGACTGAGAGAACACTAGACATCTGCACCTCCTCTATGGCCAATCACAGGTCATTTCAGATTTCCTACTGACTGTACTTTTAAAGCAGATGTGTGCGCACATCTCTTCCATGAAATCCTGATTCAAAGTTGCTCTTCCAGCACTGACAACAGCTGCCTACACCGCAAAGCAACCCAAAAACTAAGAGGGACTTTTCAAAAAGAAAGTCTAAAAGAGAGCCTGACAATAAACAAGACAAAACATGCCAATATCCGCAAAGCATTTCAGAGATGGAGAGAAAATGTTGCTAATAGTTTAGCCTTCTGCTACCCACAGCCAAAAGCTTACAGCTGAGGCTTCATGTTCACGTTTATGTAGGCCTAGCTAACATTAGTGTGACAGGCACTGAACTGGGAGCAATACAGAGGAGGGTAGCTAGAGCCTAATATCACAGTGCGTCATCCACTTCACTCCCTGCTACTAAAGACCACCTCGCTAGGAGGAGAGCTACAGCAGCTTTGAAGACAAACCACCTGTCAGCGGCCACAGCTACATGGATACAGCTAGAGAAAACCCCAGCTCCTGGGGACCAGACAGCCCTGACTCCCTGCCAGATCAGCAAAGGTCAGACCTGGCTACTATGACACCCAGCGCTGGCCAAATTTGAGCCACTACAGCCATCAACCAAAGGGATGGCTAATGTTAGCTTGCTAATTCTTGTCCCATTTGTGGTCTGATAAACAGAGAGAAAGGGCAGGGCAATGAGGGGCTGAGTGAAAGCACTGTGTGCAACTCTGCAATGAAATAAGATTTAAAAAATCAGTGCATGGGAAACACTGGGTCTGAATGAAGCATGTGCATATGCCTGTGGTCATCTGGTGGGAGGGACTTGGGATGGAGAGGAGGGGGAAAGGCAAACTGCAGGAGGAGGGTATACTTTCAAATTTGTTTTTTTTGTTTCTTTTGCCTTTTCTAGATATCTGCCTACCCCAGCTTTAATTATGTAGTCACTAGAATAAAGCTTTTTTTAATATTTCCTTCCTCATTGATGTTTTTGAAGTGTCTGCCTTCCTGTATATCCTGTTGTTTCCTGTCTTCCCATGAACATCTGCCATAAAGTTTTGATCTATGTTTGATTATACAGAGCAACCATCTAGTTTTCCCAGATTAAAAAGCAAACTGAAACCAACAGCAACATTATGGTTTATCTATTTACAACAGCAGAAATGAGCAACAGTAGAGAAGAGTCTCACCTGCTTCGGAGTCAGAGAGGTATAGTCTGGGTGGGTTAGCAAAATATCAATATCACCACTCGATGCTGCACCTGGAAATTATGAACATGTATCATCATCAGTATCATGATAACCAGAGTTTGAACTCCGATCATTAACTGCACATCAGCTTGTAGAGAAAGTTTTACCTCTCCTGTAGCTGCCACAGATTGTTCCGATGTATTCTGGGTCGATCTGCTCTAACTCTCCCAGAATAAGAGTCTAAACAAAACACACACATACAGTGTAAGACAACTCTCAATGAAACTAATTTGAGGATAACACAAAACCTTAAATACTTCATCAGCTGGATAAACATTTGTAAAACACTACATTGCTCATTTACATTTAAAAATGTCAAGTTCATCTATAATTTGATCTTAGTCCTACAAAGAAGCATAAAATTTCCAAAAATAACTCAGATAACTGTTCTACATGCAGAACTTAAGTTGAACATTTATGCGTCTGTTTTGGCAATTCAAACTGCTGAGAAGTGTCTGGAATTCGATCTATTCCTTCACCAAATCAGTTTTAGAAATACATTCTTATTTACATCCCTGTTTCTAGTTATTAAATCATATGCCTGATGTTCAATTTTATTTTTTTTAAAAAAAAAGCAGAGTGTTTATTACTTCAACAAATTTTGCTAAGACGTGTACTTTTCCTTTGAAAAAATTAATCTCGTCCTACTTTTAAGCTATTACTGGATCAAATAATCACATTTTTACGGGACTGACTCAAGAAAAACATTACGGTGGTTATATTTTTCAAGACCTTTGGTTTGCATTTTTTTCTTGTTTGGAAGACTTACAGAGGTGATCAATAACGGATTTGGACAATTTCTGGCTGTGAGCCTTTATGGATATTTATGCACCATGAATTAAGGAAATATAATGATATTATTACTTACAACATGGTCACTGCTTTTGTATATGTTTTATATGGTGTAAGGAAGGGATGGGGGACATGACAATGTTCAGTGTGTTGTTTGTATGTTCATCCATTGGTGATTGCTGGTGATTGTACTCTCTTCTGAAATAAAAAAATGAGGGAGAAAAAAAATCACCTCCATCTTTTCCATTTCAGCACGTGGAATCCTTTTCTCGAATTCCTCAAAATACCTGAAGGGAACAAAGTAATCCATTGAACACAGCTCATGTATCAGCAGAGCGATTTTAAAGGTCCAGTGTGTAGGATTTAGGGGGATGTACATTCATCATTTACATCAACATAAGGTCGTCATCTATGGAGATTTCCACGTTGCACAGCAATGCTTCTACAGTAGCCCAGAACAAACAAACCAAACACTGGCTCTAGATAGGGCCATTTGTGTTTTTGCCTTTTTGTGTCTATCACTGTAGTTAGCAGCCCCTCAGCAGCGCCAGAATAACTGCTTTACTCAGTGTCTTTACCAGTTTAAATCACTGGGTCTGTTTTGTTTTAAAGAGGGATGGACCTCCATGGATAATTCTGCTTCCAATAAACCTCTCCTGGACAATGAATACTGAAGGAATTCTAACCTGCCACCCTTTAGTGGCATCTGCAATCCTCGATGCTAGATGCCACAAAACCTTCTAAATCTTAAAGAGTGGAGCTTTAAGAGTTAGGTTATTTTGGTTTTAGTAAAAAAACATTCAGCTATACTTACTTGAGTCCAATCTGTTGATGATGATTTAGCTTGTGTTCAATCTTTTTCAAATCTAAAAATAAGCAAATAACATTGCTCATTTACAATCACACTGAAGCTAAATCTATACTGTGCAAAACATTTATTAAACATGCAATAGAGTGCATGTCAAAAAAGTAAGAAGTTATAAAGACCAATAATAAGATTAAACAAGTTTTGAACAAATGTAGTATTAATCAACTGCTGGACAAACCTTCTAATGTCTTCACCCCTTCATCAAAAAACTTCCTGGCCGCAGCAGGGCTGAAGTCAACATATAAGACATGAAGTTGGTCACATGAAGCACATACAATAAAACTACATGAACAGACAAATCTCTGTTGTGTCACTCTGGAGTGGCCACTAAACTGGTCACCCAGTGCATTTTAATTAGTCATGGTGCATGTCACTGTGCATGTCTATATAAAACATTTAATAGGACTTTAATTTAGACTGATGACTCTTAACGACATACCCAATCCCAGTAACTCTGGTGAGGAAATTGATTGAAGAGCTGGTGTCATCATTACGGATCTAGAGGAAAAAATAAAAGTAGCACATCGGTCTGTCTAATGATTGCGCTATAATTATACACATTTATACAGTGTGCCATGGATCATGCATTACCACGCCCTCAGTCTCACCTTTTCCAGTTTCCGCAGTTTGCCTGTCTGTAGGAACTCATCAATCTTTTCTGCTATTTTAGCTCCGACACCATCCTGTTGAGATGTGACAACAACATGAGGGTGCTGAATAGTGCGATCTGAGGCAGTTATGTAAGATGTGCAGAGAAGTGCTGTTGACAAACAAAGGCTACAGCAGAGGGCATCACATAGCACACAACCACAACAACATGAGCACATTAATGGTAGGGAAGACAAATAATGATGTTGTCATTTCCAGTTTCCAGGTACCATAACACTGAGATAAACAGTCACAGCAGTTAAGGTCAAGTCAGCTGTTTTAGTCAAGTTCAATACAGACAGAGGTTAAAATATAACTCCAAGATGTCGGGATCTAATAAATTCACCATGAGAAATATCTAAAAAATAGTTGAACAATGAAATATGAATTATTCCTGTTATGTTGGGAAATCAAACAATTCTTTTATCTATGATGAAAGTCATGATCAGTTACACCAATCTTCTTTTGGACATGTATAAAAACGCAAAAGAGAATTTCTTCATAAAGCATGTTTGATGTGCAGCATAAGCACAAAAGAAACGTGATACACATACAATATCAAACCTTTAAATACTGTAAAACATACTGAACAATACTGAGTAGATTATCAGCACCATCTTTTTTTCTCTTTAAAAAGTTAGGGCTGGGTGATATGGAGAAAATCAAATATCACAATATTTTTTACCAAATACCTTGACATCGATATTATGATGATATTGTAGCAGTGACCATTGGTGCTTTCTCAAAATATTTACACAATGGGCTGCTTTTCTTCACTCACCAGCCAAAAAAACAACAGTGGTAATCTATTGAGTGGCTGGTAGATTTCAAATCCCAAAATCTAGATCTCAAAATCTGGACAAGAAAAGATAATTTCGAACCCTTGAAAAAGGTACATTTATTGGAGGGCTGAAGACTGCATTGGCGTATCTCAGTTTGTAGTTGCTACACAAAATTCCAATATGCGTCTGGATCATTGTCACCAGGTCAAACTATCACATTAATGCGTGTCAAAAACTGACCAGTGTGTGTGTGATTTTCAAGAAAGACACCACTGAGCACACATACCAGTTTCTTGGCCTCTTCGCCACTTTTGATTTTGTTAGGGTACTTGGCAATGGTAGATGCTGCTTTCCTAGATGGGGAATAAGAAAAAAAATTTGTAAAAGATATATTATGTGTAAATGTGATGTAAAAGACATAAAAGTCGAAAAATAATGCAGTGTTCAAAAGCTTCTTATGGATGCCTCAACAAATCCTTTACTGTTAAAATTATATAAACAGATTTTTATCACATTACTAATAAACCCTCCCCACCTCTCCATATGATTCATTATTCATATATTGTGTCTGAATTTGGTACTTTATATTTTATATTTTTGTAATCACAATACACACACATATATACATATACATACATACATATATATATACAGTACAGGCCAAAAGTTTGGACACAATTTTAACAGTTGTCCAATAGGGCTGTCGGCTGTGTATTAACCTGACTTCTGCACAACACAGCTGATGGTCCCAACCCCATTGATAAAGCAAGAAATTCCACTAATTAACCCTGATAAGGCACACCTGTGAAGTGGAAACCATTTCAGGTGACTACCTCTTGAAGCTCATCGAGAGAATGCCAAGAGTGTGCAAAGCAGTAATCAGAGCAAAGGGTGGCTATTTTGAAGAAACTAGAATATAAAACATGTTTTCAGTTATTTCACCTTTTTTT